CCACGCTACCTCCTGCGCCAGCGTGGCGGTGTTGAGGATGATGACTCGGTTTTGGCAGCCGCACCACAACTTCCCTGCCACCGCCACCATCTTGGTGATGGGGCTCCCCGGTGAGCCCAGGGACAGGGACTTGGAGTTTTGGGGGTCCCAGAAGCGGCCTGAGAAGGTGGGGAGAGTGGGGTGGGGAGTTAAAGCATTCCCAAAAAATGAGTCCAGCTCGATACGGACAATGGGTGGCTGAAAACAACTTTCTCCAGGTCACCCCTCAGAGGGAACAAACTGATGCCACCATGGGGTTCCAGCGGCAGGCAGGGACCAGCAGAAGGATGCCCACCTCCACCTGCCACTGAGTTTGGTGTCTCCAGCATCCCTGCAGGGATGTCCCTTCCCATGGAAGCAGGGAAGCCACCCTGAGCATCCCACCCCAGGGGGATGTCCCAAATCAGACCTCACCTGCTTCCCGCTGGTACACAACGAGCTCCCCGTTGGCCAACGACACAAAAACCTGGTTATCCAGGTACCTGTGGGGACAAACCACCTCTGACATCCAGCTGCAGAACCCCGCTCCACCCCTCCCAGAGCTGAAAATCCCCCTTCCCCACTTACAGGATGCACATGACGGCGGCAGCGTGTTGCATCTTCATGCTGTTCTTCCTGTTCCGGATGTTGTCCGAGGACTGGTACACGTGGATGCTGCAGGAGGAGAGCAAAGCTTGAGGCTCCCCCAGAACTGGCGTCCTTCCCGTGTAGGAATTCCCAGTCCAGGGACGTACCAGCCATCCTCGGTGCCCAGCCACATGGAGCTCTGATGGGCTTCGGGGTCAAGGCTGAGGAGGTCCTCGAGGCTGCCGCGGGTGAAGGAGCCGCGGCTGGAGCGGCGCAGGGCCCGCCCGTCCGTGGGGCTCTCGCCGTGCCGGTTCTGCCCATAGGTGCCGGTGATGGGCATGAAACCAGGCTCCTGCTCTTCCTCCGAGCTCGTCGTCTCCACTGTTGCCTCCTTGCAGCTCGGGATCTCTTCATCTGTGGAGGAGGAGGACGAAGGAAGGGGTCAGACCACGACCATGCAACACCCTCCAAAGTCATGGGGAAGAGGCCAAGGGTGATGTCAAGGCCAGGAGACGGCACAGGGATGCTGAGCCCCAAAACCCATGAGCTTTCACCCAAAGGCCCCCCCCATCACAGCACCACACTGTTGAGCTGATGCTTCTCAACATCTCTTTTCCCAGGCTCAAAAGCCTCCACCTGCAGATTCCCCCGAAGAAAACAAGGCAGAGAGGCCAAAACAACGGAGCTGCCTGTACTTTTGGGGCAAAAAGGTGTATTTCTCCCTAGGCAGGGGCCAGGGAAGACTCACTTCCGAAGCTGGAGGAGATGGTGGAGTGGCTGGCTTGGCTCTGCAGCGTCCCAGAGGGGCTGGGCGAGGACTCGTCATCCGTGTCATCGCTGTCGAAGGGCACCAGCTCCCTGTTGCCGCCGTCCACGGGCTCCGAGAGCTCCAGCGACGAGCCCGAGATGGAGATGTGCAGGCACGGCTGCGGCCCCGCGTCCTCCGGCTGTGCCGGGCCCAGCTCCGCCGAGGGGCTGCCCAGCGGCTCCGAGCGCTCCCTGCCGCCGCCGGGAGGGGAGAGAAGCAGCTCCAGCATCGCCCCGCGCCCGCCGGCTCCGCGGGGCCGGGGAGTGTCCTACCTATAGGTGCGCTTGAGGCCGGGCACGGAGGCGATGCAGAGGATCCTGGCGGAGCAGACGGCGATGCAGGCCTCCACCGTGGGCTCCTTGCGGATGCTCAGCAGGCACACCTGCCCCACGTAGCCGTCGCTGTTGCAAACCCAAACCTCGTGCGAGCTCTCCGGGCTGCCGTGGCTGGGAGAAGCGCAGGAGAACTGCAAGGGAGCAGAAGAATGGGTTATTCAGGACCGATGAAGGAGCTGTCTGGTGACAGGATGCCATCCCTGGGATGGGGGAGGACCTGTGGGATGCTTGAACCCAGACTTTGGAGTACCTGCATCCCACTCCGCGTCTTCATGATGGGGATGGCTTTGAGGAACTCCGGGTCCAGGCAGTTCTTGCTGGAAGCTGGGAAAATCAGGTTGGGGGATGAAGAAGTGATGGAGCAAAGGGGTCTGCCCAAGCAGGGTTGGGGGGGGATGCCAAGCCCACCACCACATCCACCTCCCCCCTCCCTGCTGTTACCCAGCTTTTTCTTGGCGTCCTCGAAGGCTTGCTCGAAGCCGAGCCGGGCGTCAGGGTTGGGGAACTCGAAGATGAAGGACTCGGTGCCGTCAGCTTTGGTGGTGCTGAGCTCCACCTTGTTGGGGGGGAAGGCCATGCTGAAGGACAGGGATTGCTTCTCCGACAGCTCCCGGTGGATGGCAGCCATCAGGTCCTTGATCACGTCATCCAGGCCCTTGGGACGGGGACAACACAACTCTCAGGGACAGACCACCACAAGCCACATGCTTGATAACCCCCTCTCCATCCCCTGGCATCCTTCAGAGGCTGCCACAACCTCTTTTGTGGCTTTAGGGCTGCATGTTTATGGCCACCAGCCCTTCCACAAGCCCTCCTCTCTTGCTGAGGACATCCCGTGTGGTCCCACTGGGAATGTATCCAACCAGGGGACAGCTCCAGGGCCGCCAGCCCCGTACCTGGTGGGGGAAGCTGAGGGTCTCTGACAGCTTGCTGACTTGCCCCAGCGTGTTGAGGTCTTCATCCAGGCGGCTGATGCTCTTCTGGATGCTCTCCCTGTTGGTGGCTTGAGAGGCACCTGTGTGGGGGGACACAGCGTTAACCCCTCCCTCCCTGGCACTACCAGCCAGGGGGAGCGATGGGTTTTGGGGTGAGATGGGACACTCCAGCAAGCAGTGACAGACCTTTGACGATGTCCACATCCTCCAGGGGCAGCTTCCAGAGCAGTTTGTACTTGCTGGCGGTGTCGATCACGCTGGCCGCCGTGTACCTGGGAGTTTGGGGGGGATGGCCGAGCTGCACCCACAGCCCCAGCCCCTAAAAGCCAGGCCAGCTGGCAGGGACAGCCAAGGGGTGTCCCCAAGCCTGGTGGTACTCACAGGCTCATGGAGCTGCGGCGGAGTGAGCCCGACTTGCGCTTCAGTGTGGTGCACACCAGCAGGTCCGTGAAGAGGAAGAAGGAACGGTCCTTCTTCCCACCCACCGCCTTCTGTGGAGCAGTGGGAGACACCAGGGGGTTAATGACCATCCCTCCTCTGTGCCAGTGCCGGGAGAGGGCCCTGCCTCAGCTTCTCCACGTCCTGCCTTGCTCTTCCATCCATCATCCATCTATCATCCATCATCCATCCATCATCCATCCATCCATCCATCCATCCATCCATCCATCCATCCATCATCCATCCATCATCCATCCATCCATCCATCCATCCATCCATCCATCATCCATCCATCGTCTCCAATGGGCACACAGGCACCCCACAACCCACAGTCCCCCCACTGCTCACCCAGCGTGTGGTCCCATGGCCCCATGGACCCTGCTCTTACCACTTCCACGACCATCTCCTGGCGCAGGAACCTGCGGAGCGGAGCCTGGAGCTGTGGGGACAAGGAGACCCATGGATGGGAAGCCATGGCGGGAGCTTTTTGGCCTTCATCCCTGCCCCTGCATCCCCCAGCTCAGAATTGGGATCCCAGTCCGTTCCCAAGCCCCCAGGAGCCCACCAAGGCCAAATAATGGGGAAAACTGGGCCTGGAGGAGAAAACAAGTGACCCAGCCTTGGGTGACCCAGAAAGAGCAGAGATGAGGACATTTTGTGCAGAAGGAAAGAGTGGCCCCCTCCAAGGCCCCCCATACGTACGTCCTCCATCCCTTCAATGTGGGACTCAATCTCCTGCACGATCCGGGCGTTCCTCTCCACCTCCTCCGCGCTCTTCATGCCCTTGTTGATCCTCTCGGCCACTTGCTTGATGTTGCGCTGGGCGTCGATGAGGAAAGGGTGGTCGGGGTGGTCCTCGGGCGTGTGCTTCAGCAGGTCCTGCCGTGGGGACAGAGCCAGGCTGTCACCTCTGGCAACGCCTGGACACTGGCAGTGTCATTGCCCGAGCCCGTCCCATGCTGCTCTGGCTGCTGGGGATGGAAACCAGCCCCAAGGAGGGGGTGGCCATGGGACTGGTCCCAAAATGACAGCGCAATGTCCAGCAGAAAGGCTCAGGGTAAGGGGACTGCAGTGGGGTGACTGTCCTCAGGGTGACCATCCCACAGCCATGTGCACACCTGGGGACACCAGCTTTGTGACAAAAGGTGGGAAAAGGGGTCAGGAGAAACCTAAGAGCCCTGAAAGCTGCGTGGAGGCGAGGAGGAGCTGTGGCCTCCCCCACTGCTGGTGTGACACTGCCACCCCGGTGTCACCCACCTTCACCAGCAGCTCGTATCGCGGGATCCTCTGCACCGGCTTGATCATCAGGTCGGACAGGGCCTGCTTCTCCTTGTTCTCCCGCATGCTTTGCTGCAGAACACCCATGAGGGACAAGGATGGGCTCCTTGGTGGGACACAGCAGGGACACTGCCTCCCACTAAGCCAGGATCACCCATTTTGCTTTGGGGTCACTTCCGCACCATCCAGAGTGATTCTGGTTCATCCCAACTGAACCTCTTTGCAACAAAGCCAAGAAGGTGGGGGGGAAATTCCCAGTCTGGCAATAAATTTATTCCCGTTAACTCCCATCCTGCCTGGCTCTAGATCATGGCCAGGATCTCTGGAGACAGGACCCAGCACCCACCTCCAGGAACTTCATGAAAGCCGGCCGGGCTTCCTTGGCAATCCTGACGGCATCCTTGGCGTTGAGGAAGTTATCAATGTAGGCAGAGTAGATGTTCACCAGCACATCCTTGGAGAACTGGGAGGGAAAAACAGGGATCCAGCAGGGATCATGGACATACTGGGAGAGCCTGGAAGAGGCTGCCCCAAGGGTTAACCCTGGCTCTGGGCTGGCGCAGGGAGGGCTCACCCGCTGTCCTCCCACCTCGATTTTTCAGCCCTGACGTTTGTGCTCCCGAGGCAGAAACGCGGAGCTGCAGAGCCAGCCGGGAGCAGCAGCTCCCACCCTTATGCTAAGCAGACAGCAGGCCTGGAGATCGTCTCCTGCCCTCCATCCCAGGCCTGCCTGGCCCATCCTTTCATCACTGCCCTGCCTCCTGCTCCAAAACCTCTGCTCTGGGCCCGGGGCCCAGGAGTGGGCACACCCGCATTCCCGGGGGGAATTACTCTGCCGGGACCTACCGACTGCACCAGGAGGTCGCCCACTTTCTGCTTCTCGTGCCAGTTCTGCACACAGTCGTGGATCTGCTCCAGGAACTGCTCGTGGTGCTCCAGCAGCTCAGGGATCTGGTCGAAGATCTCGTCCACCAGCGAAGGGTCGCACAGCAGGGAGTTCTCCGGCTGCTTCAGCGGCTTCATGTAACCCTGCGGGCAAGCGGAGGCACCCAGATCCGTGGAGGTTTCCTCTCCCTCCCCAGCCAGTTTGGGTCTCTCAGCCCATGTAAATATGGGGATGGATGGCATCCCGCAGCAGGGGGTTCCTCCAGGGGATGCTGGGTTGTGGGACCCACCAGCAGGAACGGTCAGGTTTTGCAACCCAGCCTCCCTGGGTCCCATCCCACTCAGTGAACCCCACAGCTGTGTGGGGAGGGGGACAGGTCTGCACAAGGAACCTGCACAGCCCAAGATCCTCCGTCCCTTAAGAGCCATCTTTGCTGTCCTGAGCCTTCATCACCTCCATCTGCCCGACCTAGCTTGGAAATCGCAGCAACACGACCCCAGGATCCAAATGCCGGTGTGTTCCTGGTGGGATTTAGGGATTTTGGAACCAGGTGGGGCTGGACTAGCAGGATGCATCCACCTGGATCATGCCCTGGACCACCACAGAGTGGCCAACGAGCAATACTCAGGGCCAGCAGATCCTCAGCAAGGCTGGGTGGGTGGCTGTGCTATGAAACCCCTTTCCTCAATCCGTGGGGCAGAGCTGCAGAGTGGAGCAGTGCCCCTGGAACAGGAGGGAGGGATTTGCAGGGGATGCAGCAGGACGTGGAAGGTCTTCCCCAACCTTGCCATCCCCTCAGTCTGACCAGTACAGGGTAGCACAGGTAGCACCTGGTGGCTTTCGGGATGTGTGGAGGACCTTGGAGCTGAGCAATGAGGACAGGATCCACCTCCAGTGGCTTTAGACTTCTCCAGCCAAGCTGGTAAAGGAGTCATCCCCCAAAGATCAGGTTCCTCAAGCTGATGCTAGATATCTCATGGAGACCCAAGTTAGAAGGACCAAACACTTCCCGAGGCTCCTAAGCCACTTCAGCTGCCCTATCATGTCCAGCACCTCCAGCAGGAGTTGGGATGGACTGTGCCATGCATCCCGTGCTTCCCACATGGGGGAGAAGAGCAGGGACACAGCCCTTGCTGCAGCACACGGGGACAGCAGGCAGGGCTTGCCCAGGCACCATCTGGCTTGGCTGGAGGATGATGCTCCAGGGTGGTCCTTGTCCTTGGGAGCCACCAGGCTATGAGCCACCAAGCCATGTCAAGGATCTGAGCACCTCGTCCCTCAGGGGACAGCTGGAGCCCTGTGATCCCTGCCAGAAAGCCAGGTCCCCTCTGGTGGCACTGTGTCCAGACAGGTCCCGTGGATGAGAGCTCAGGAATTAACACCCTGTGGCTCCCACCCGTGTCCCTGCCACCTCAGGAGGGAGGGCACAGACCACGGAATGGCACAGACCACGGGACAGGCTCTCTCTCGTCCAGCAGGGACGCCCCCCAACCCCAATCCCTGTACAGCTCTCCCCGAAATCAGCCCCAGATCCTCCTGCCCCTCTAAGCCAAGGTCTGCACTGGCAGCAGCCGGTGGGTCCTTCCCCCCTGCAGCACATCTGTGTCCACCACGGGGGTATCCCTGTGGGGGATTTATGGGAAGAGCCCATGACAGCGCTGGGACGGAGTGTCCCATGCCCCTGGGGACTGTCACAGAGCCCCCACAGGCACCGCTTCTGCAGAGCTCGGAGTTTTTGGAGTGTTCCCCCCACCCCCGGCAGGGATGTGGTCGGACAGCACCACCTCGGCCAGGTGATGTCTCCAGGGCGTTGACCACCATTAACCTGCTGAAACACCTTCATTAACATCTGAAACGTGGGACGGACCCTCCGGCCAGGCTGCTCCAGGGGCGCTGGAACCAGCTCGGCAAAAAAGCCTGAGAAAAACCTTTGGCTCAGGTCTGCAGGTGATGATCCGAGCAGGAAACGGGGGCACGAGGGAACAGGGGATTTCAGGGGTCCCCCATCATGGCAGGGCCATCAGGAGACGGGGTGCAACACGAGGAAGAGCTTTTGGAAGGCAAGAGACTTGGGGACACGATACCTGCCAGGTGACGGCACATGGGGAATGTCACGGGCTCGCGTTGGGGACGGAAGTCACTCCCACACCCCCTCCTTGACGCTGCTGCCACAGCGCTCCCACTGCTGCTCCTGCCGCCCCCCACATCCCCCTGTCAGCCCCAATCCGCCCCGCTGCCACACAGGTCCCGGTGCCGCAGCCCGGGCTCCGCGCTGGGGGGACCGCGGTGACCCCGCGCCTGGTTTGGGGTGTCACACCCCGGCCCCGCCGCCTTACCTGCATCAAGGTGCGCAGGGACTCCACGTAGGACTGCTCGGTGTCCANGGAATAAAAGCGAGGCGCTATTTATATCGCCGGGGTTCGCTGTGGATGTGGAAGTACGGGGATGGATGGATGGATGGATGGAAGGAAAGCCCTCCCGCAGAGCGGCTGCGGGGTGCGAGGCTGCGCCTGCGTCCGTGGCCACGCCAGGGACCCCGGCCCCCGGAGCTGCCCGGGCACGGACAGCGGTGGCAGCGCGGCAGGCACAGCCGTGCCCACACAACACGCAGGGCAGGGCCGGATCCCGCCGAGGGATGCTGCTGGAAAGGCTTTTCCCAGGGAGGATGCTGGGGGTGGGGTGGGGGGAGCTGGTGCTTTTTGGGGCCCGTGACTTTTGGGGAGGGGGACGCACGGGTGATGCTGGGGCGCTCGGCACCCTCAGGGACTCCATCCCTGTGAATATCCCCCTCCCTGACCTTGCAGACAGGGAAACTGAGGCGCACCCCCTTTCCCCCAGGGCATCGTCACCTCAGCACCCACATCCCTGCTGGCCGGGTGATGCATCCTGCCCAGATCTGCTTGTAACGCTCCCCTCCTGCTCCCTTAATTAAATCTAATTAGCCGCTCACCCCGTTTCCACAGCAACGGCGTGCAGCAGGGCTGCATCCTCCCGTTGCAGCCAGTAAATTTCCTCTTGGAGATGAGGACGGTGAGCAGCCCAGGCCGGGAAGGGTGCGCGGCAGAGGACGGACCACTCGGGGCATGTCATGAGAGCTGCAGCAGCTGCCAGCGCGCCCAGGGGTCAGGGAGGAGGGACAGCTAATTGCAGCCAGGTAACGAGGCTGTTCTCAAGGCAGCAGCTCCTGTAGAGCCCTGCTCATCCCAGCTGTTGGAATGCTGCGTTTGTTTGGTTTGCAATCCCAGATCTGTTTGGGTTGCAGTCCTGAGCTCTTCTGGGATCCAATCCCAGACCCATTTCTGCTGTAATCTCAGATTCCTTTAGGCTGCCGTCCTAGAACCAGATTTGCTGCAAGCTTGGATCCACCTGCATTGCAATCCTAGAGCCATCTGGATTGAAACCCTGGGCTATTCTGAGCTCCAATCCAGATTCATTCTGGTGGTAATCCCAGACACATTTGGTCTGCAATCCCAAACCCACCTCACTTGCAATCCTGGGCATATCTGCATTGCAATCTGGGATCCATCAGGGATAAAATCCTGGGCTCTGCTAGAATCCTATTGCAAACATGCCTCTGTTGCAATCCCTGTTTTATTTGGGTTCCAATCCCAGAATAATTTCTGTTACAATACCAGATCCGTTTGGGTTCCAATCCCAGAAGAAAATGGGTTGCTAATCTAAATCCACCCAGATTCCAGTTCCAGACCCTTCCATTTACAATCCTGGGTGATTTTGGGTTGCAATCCCAAACCCACCTGGACAGCAAATCCAGGCCCCAACTGGGCTGCAGCACTCTGGGTTGCAATCCCAGACCCGCTTATTTGCCATACTGGGCCCCATCTGTGTTGGGATCTGGGCCCTTTTGGGTTCCAATCCCAGACCCATCTAGTTGTAATCCCAATCCCATTCCTTTGCAGTTCCAGAACCATTTGGGTTGCAGTCACAGGCCCAGCAAGGATTCAAACCTGGGTCCAGCCGCATTGCAATCCCAAATCCATTTTTGCTGCAATCCCAATCCCATTCCTTTCGCAATCCCAACACTATTCCTGTTGCAATCTCAGACCCAACAGGGAAGCAAACCTGGGTCCATCTGCGTGGCAATGCCAGATCCATTTGGGCTGCAATCCCAGAACCACTCCTGTTGGAATCCTGGACCCACCTGGGATGCAGTTTTGGACCCGTTTGGGCTGTAACCCCAGATCTGTCTGGGTCACGATCCCAATCCCATTCCTTTTGCAATCCTGCACCTAACAGGGATGCAAACCTGGGTCCAACCCTATTGCAATGCCCAGTCTCTCTGGTTTGCAATCCCAATCCCAGTCCTCCAGCAATCCCAATCCCATTCCTCTGGCAATCCCAACCCCACTCCTCCGGCAATCCCAATCCCAATCCCGCTCCTCTGGCAATCCCAATCCCATTTTCTCATCAATCCCAATCCCATTCCTCCGGCAATCCCAATCCCAATCCCATTTCTCCGGCAGTCCCAGCTGCTGTCCTGCCGCAGCCCCGTTCATCCCAGCGCTGCCGCCCCGCGCTGCTCCGGGGCCCGGCGGCTCTGCCCGCACAGCTCCCCCGAGCCATCCCCCGGGAGCTCCCCGGGCCGAGCCCAGGGCAGGAGAGCCTTTCCCACTCCCTGAACGCCACCCCTGGATCAATCCCTCGCTCCAAGGCAGGGTCCCCCCGCGGGAGCAGCGCAGGGACACTGGCCGCTGGCGGCCGGAGAGGTCGCGCTTTCCCCCCGTGGCTCTGGAACCCTCTCTCAAACCCTCGGGGTGCGGCAGGGAGGGGGGGTGGCTGCAGAAGGGTTAAAGCCGGCCTAGGGAAGGAGCCAGGCCGGATCCCGCTGCGCTTTCGGGGGCCCGGCGGGGGCCACCTCTCCATCAGCCCGGGATGCCAGCCCCGGAGCGATGCCGGCCTGGACCCCCCTGCAAGCGGCCCGCAGCCCACAGGAAATTCCTGGGAGTGTTTGGCCACTCCAACAGCGCTGCCTATTTTTAGGGCTGTCTAAAATATGAGCCGGTTATTTTTAGCAGCGCGGCTCTTTGTAAACACCTTTAGATTTCCTTTCGGACCAGCCCCTGTTGTTGGGTTGTTTTTTTTTCCCAGCCTGGGTGTTTCCTCCCCCAAAACCCCAAACCCTGCTGGGAAATGTGTGCCAGTTCCTTGGGATGGGGCCAAGGGACTCGTCCCCCATCCCAAGGCACGCCAGCATGGCAAAATGCTCCTGAAAACCCAAAGATGGAGAGGATCCGGCACCGGGGCTTGGGGGGTGAGTCAGCAGCACCCCAAACCTGGGATGGGGGGACAAGGAAAGGCCTTTTCCCCCAGCTTTCCTTCTGACACTGGAAATACAACCCTGAAGAAGGATGGGAACTCTCCCATCTTGATTATTTTATTTTTTAATTAGGCTCAGGGTGCAACCCCATCATTTTGCTTTCCCTGTGCAGGAATATCAGTGCAGAATGAGTTTGAGCATCCCCACGGACTTTAACACATCCTCAAATATTTGGAAAAGGCCGTGGTATATTGTGTCCTGCCTCCACCCTCACAAACAAAGAGGCATGGATGGATGAAAGTCCTAAAACATCCATTTTTTAAACAAACAAAGGCCAAAGGGAGAGTAGGAATGTACATTCCGTGAGGAATCACAGCCATCACACAAATTCTGGCCCTTGAGCCCGTGCACACATCAGTGCATGGAATGATGATGTTTTCAGATGCTCTGAGGACTCCCCCCACTCTCCCAAATCCTGGGAATTTGGTCGGTGTGGGAGGGTGTTCCTTGTGCTGTCACCACCCGTCTGGGATGCCAAAATCACATCCCATGGGAAGGAGGATCCCTGTATCCCCAGAGATCATCCCAAAATTCCCACAGCCACGGCACTCGGTGTTTCTCCCTTCCATTGGTGTAACGAGTTGTGCCAGCACCCAGCCATGCCCTGAGTGAGCTGCAGCAGCGATTTCATCCCTGAGACCCTGCTCTGGGGCAAAAATATCCAGATTTAGGGGGAAAAGTGGAGCAGTTTAGATCGCTTTGGGAGCGGGATTTGCTGCTCAGGGCTTCCTGCAGCTGCTGAAGGAGGAGCCAACCCTGCCTCAACTGAAATTATTCCCACCCCTCCAAAACACGTCAAAATTTTAAGAGTCAATAAATACAAGTGGTTTTTCCCTCACTGTGGCTCGTTCCTGCTGCCAGCTCCTGATGAGAGATTCTCTAGGGTGTCACAGTAGGGCTGTGCTAGGAGCTACCTGAACCTTGGTACCTCCTTGAAACCACCATTCCCAGTCTGAAAGAATCTGGAATTTCTGCTCCTTTTCTTTCCCTCTATGCTTGTTGCCAGGGTAGATCCCACTAGAGGGAGCTGGGACATAGTGGGAGCCACTGGTCCACAGGGATAGTGCACGGTGAATTCCCAAGCTTAACAATTTTAACACATCCTCAGCTCTCTTTCTACCACAGATCTGGAAAGAAAAGGCTTGGAAATAAACTGGACCTGCTTCCTTCCATCCCAATGCAATGAGCAAACACCTCTGCAACAAACAGCATCATCCTGGCATATAAGACTTCCTCATGCAGCCAGAAAAGCTCCTGGCTGGCACCATATCCCAAAACAGGATGATGCTATTCCATCCAGTCCCGTATTTCCTCAATCACTCAGCCTCTGGCAGGAATTCACTCGGGAGAAGAAATAAAAAATCACATTCTGTCCTCTTGGGGAGTATTAAAGCAGGAGGCTTGATGGGGTTTTGTGGGGGTTTCAAACCTCAGCAGCCTTTCCCTTGGGATCAGTGATGCTCTGCCCTGTGTCCCACACGTGCCATAAAGCTGGGGCACGGCAGCCACCAAGGAGAGGATCAGCCACTGCCAGCCCTGGCTGCCAATCCCCCCCATTCCATGGTGCCAGTCACCTTTTTGGGACATGCCAGACCTTCCCTGGGTGCCAATCACCTCCATCCCCGAGCACCTCTTTCTCCAGGTGTCACCTCATCCCTGGCTTCCAATCTCTCCCTCCCTGCTACCAGCCTCTCATCTCTGAATACCAGTCAAGCTATCCCTGGGACCACCAGGTCCTGGGGAAGCCACTCCCATGGGAACAGGAGGACCTGTGGCACAGCAGAGGAGTCCGAGCCTGCCGTAGGGAATCACGTCCCTCCATCCATCCCTCCCTGGCCAGCCTCTCCCTGCTCTCCCACGGGTAAGGAAAGTCCGAGCTGCTCTCCAAAGAGTAACTTCTTGAAAGGAAATAAGAGCATAAATCAGCAGCTCTGATTCAGCCCCGCTTCGGTTACTAATAATATTCCCGTGTTTATTCGCAGGCCCGGGGCTGGAGATGTTTGCTTTTCCCTCGGCCGTGGTTTTTCCCAGGCTCCCAGCTC